AATGGGCAATGACCTTGACCTCCTTGGGGGTCAAGGTCAACATCAAGGTCAAACGGAAGTTGATTGGCGGGTGCTATGTAAGGGTAAATATTTACCCTTGTTCAAAAATGAAACGATAAACAGAGAGAAATTGCAATGCACATTTTACATTGTTTTGCAACTGATAATTTGCCAATTAAATTGTATATCAGCGGATCAGCGGGCGTTGGAAAAAGCACATTGATCAACGCAATTTATAATTTATTATTAAATTATTTCGAGGATATACCAGGTGAAAAGAACAATGCAGTGAAAATTTTAATATGCGCACCTTCAGGAAAAGCAGCATTTTTGATAGGTGGCGTAACGTTACACACTGCTTTTGCATTACCGATAAATCAGTATGCCGGACAAATGCCAGAACTATCTGCCGACGTGGCAAATACTATTCGAGAAAAATTATTTGAATTGAAGTTGTTAATTATAGATGAAATATCGATGGTGGGTAGTACAATGTTTACTCGAATAGATACTAGACTAAGACAGATAATGGGTCGTGATAGAAGCTTTGGAGGAGTTTCTGTTCTTATGGTTGGCGATCTTTATCAATTACCACCGGTTATGGATACTGCTATTTATTCCTGTCCGAAATCGTGCAAGTTGAGCGTATTTTCTGAAAATGTTCTATGGAATCAATTTGAGTTTTTTGAGTTAACAGAAATAATGAGACAAAGGGAAGATAAAAGTTTTATTGAAGCTCTTAACAACATTGCTAGAGGAACAATGTCTGAAAAGGATATTGCTTTAATCAAGTCGAGAGAATCGACACAGGAATACGTCCCTAAAGATGCAATCAGATTATATACTGATAATCGCTCAGTTGATAATTATAACAAATTAAAAATAGATCGCGAAGATGGCACAGCTTATGAATATAAAGCAAAAGATACAATTTTAGGAAAAGTCAATAGTAAGTTGCGAAACAAATTACTTACATCAATTAAAAATAAAAAAAGAACAGAATGTTGTGGCTTGGCTTACAAATTATTACTAAAAATTGGTATTAAATATATGGTAGTTACTAATATAGATGTTGAGGATGGATTAGTTAACGGAGCATGTGGCATATTAAGGAAAATAACGTTTAAACAAGGTACAGAAGAACCGATTATAATATGGCTAGATTTCAATAATAATAGAATTGGTATGGACAACGAAGACCATACGTGAATTATATCAATAATAATTCCATTGAAATGTATTTGGTTCCTATATCACCAGTCACTGTGGTATTGAACGTTAATGAAAGAATGGAGTATCAAATTGTAAGAAAACAATTTCCAATCACGCCTGCAGAAGCCTTAACAATCCATAAAAGCCAAGGACAAACATACGAAACAGTATGTATAGATTTGAGAAACAATAATCGTATGACGAGGTCAATGATGTACGTAGCTTTAAGCAGAGTGAGAAAATTATCAGATTTATATATTCTTGGAAATTTTACACCTCCAAAAAAACCATCGACAGAAAATCCTTTGGGGCTTGAGATGAAACGCCTAAAAGATGAGAAATGTTTAAAATTGTCATATTCAAAAACTATAAAAGGTAATCGAATGAAAATTATATTTCAGAATGTACGATCATTGAATAAAAATCTTATCAATATATCTTGTGATAAATGGTACAAACAGGCAGATTTGTTAATTTTTGCGGAAACACAAACGATATCAACAGATATTTTGAGAATTGAAGGATTTAATATTATTTTCCGATCTGATAATTACGAAAAACGTAAATCTAGAGGAATAATATGCTACACTAGAAATGAATTAAACGCAATTATTAATAAACATATACAAAAAAATGAAATTATAAATGAACAACAAAGTCATATTGACTTGATACTAAAACCATAAATGACCTGGAGATTATTACCGGTTATAAGTAATCTCCAACAGTATCTAAAAATATGTTTAAGGAAGAATTGAGTAATATTTTAAGCTATTCTGTAGGCTGGGAAAGGATTATAATTGGTGATTTTAATTATGATTCATATAATGAGGGAGGATTTTTAGAAGAATATTTAAATAAATTACAGTTTAAACGTGCTATTTGCACACAAATATCAACTACAAGATTCAATACGCAAATAGATGTAATATTCATATCTGAGAAAATAATAAATTATAGTGCTGGAGTATACGAAACTTATTTCTCAGATCATAAACCTATTTATATAGGATTAAACGAGCAAAGCAAGTCCCCAATATCAAGTATCGAAAAAATCAAGAAAGATAGTTCGATTAACATAAACATAAACAATTCTAAAAAATACTTAATCAATGAGATGTCGGGACATAATGATAAGACATATAAAATCGATAATAAAGAATGTATAATATTAAACAACGAAAATGAATTCAAAGAGGTGAAATCAGTGACTACTTTAGAAGGTAGGTTCGGGGTTTTCTCAAAACATAGAAAAAACATATATAATAAAATTAATTGCAAAACATTTCCTGATAAATTTATAAATACAGTAAATATTTATGCTCCCTCAGAAACTGTAGAAGAGAATGTATTAACAGAAAATTCATGGCTGGATGATAGACCTTTAAATGAAATAATGAAAATAATTGAAAATAACACTTTATTTAAACGTGTAGATGTATTATTTATTACTCAATTAAAATGGGTTGATTCAATTTATACTCCCGATGTTCAGATTGTTGGTGGTTCTCAAGCGAGAAACCACTGGCACTGTATTTATTATGATGGTGTTAGGCTACATATATATGATAGTTTATACTTTGCAATACACTCTTATGAAGATCTAACATCATTTGAACGAAATTACATCAAAAAGCGATATCCTAATCTGACTGAGAACAATGTAATATTTGAAAGAGTTACAAAGCAGCCAGACCTATCATCTTGTGGCGTATTTGCAGCAGCATTTGCTGTAACAATAGCATTGGGAGAAAATCCATCTTGTAAAAAATATTCATTAGATATGCAAATAATGCGTAGGCATTTTCTAAGGATCATTAATGAGAAAATTTGGTAATTATGCATAAAAGGGGCCTCCTCTCCGATTTGCTTCATTTTTAAATATGTTGTTGGGGATGTCTTCCCGAGTCATTTCATATATATATATATATATAT